TCTTTATATCTGGCGAACCCAAAGTGATGAAATGCTCGTAGCTTCCGATTTCTTAGACTATAGAGATGATTGGAGCCATTATGGTCAGATTTCAAGATGGCATGGGACTGCCCGGGAAAGCCATGGAAGGCAGCGGGGGTGCATCTCTTCCCGCTGCTTGTAAAAGCAATCCTGAAGCTAATTAGCCACTAGAATTGCTTTTACAAGAAAGCCTATCGCTGGCTGAAAAGAATGATACCAGGATGATGCCTGCAGGTGCAGTTATCATCCTGGTATAACCACTCAAAGTCTAGTGATGTACTAGTACATCGCTGGTCCTTGTTGGGCATATATGTTATGTTCTTTTTTTATGCAGCCTGTGGGCTGAATGAAAAACAGAGAAGAAATCTCTCCCAGAAAAAGTGTATGGTATGCCAACCATTAGAATATACCACCCTGCATCCACCCACTTCTAATATTGGGCATTCTTGAAATGAAAAACAGATTCCTCTATTCACATTGACCAATGTGGATGAAAAAATTTCCGCCAAAAATGTATATTTTAAATATATGCCTAAGCATAGGAGCAATCCACCCACTGACCACCCCCATTCCCCCATGCTTGGGCATATATTTTCTATTTTTAATCTCATATGAGAAATCTCATCCAGCAGCACTGGATGAGATTGGTACTGGAGCTGAATAGCATTCCTGCAAAGAAAACGGTTACAAATAAAACAGTAACAATAGAACAGTAACTGAATAAAATAACTTTTTTATTGAAATTTGTGTAAAAAAAATTACAAAAAAATGCCGAACCATAGGAGCAATCCACCCACTGGCCACCCAAGGCCCCCATGCTTGGGCATATATGTTCTTTTTTAACTCTGGAAGAAAAATCTCAACCAGCAGCTCTGCACACACTGATGTATATTCTGAGAGCACACCCTGTTGCTGTCAGAATAAACAGATAGGTAATGCAGAGCAGTGTTCCTGCAAAGAAATCAACAACGAATAACAATAAAACAGTAAAAATAAAACACTTAATAAAGCAACAACTTTTTAATCAAAATCTGTGCCAAAAAAATATATGAGGAAGCATAGGAGCAATCCACCCACTAGCCACCCCAGGCTCCCATGCTTGGGCATATATCCAGAAAAACCCAGATGTTAGGGTCTCTCAAAATGCCATAGCCAGTTTCCTGACTACCTAACATCTTTCCAGACCCTGTGTATATATATGTTTCATAGACTGTGCCGTGCTGCACACTATACTAATACTTCACTAGTGTGTGATATCAAAGGAAGCAGTCCTTGAGGCAGAGACCAAGCTGGCCAGGACAGGAGGGACAAAAAACACGGGTGTCACGTCTATTTCCGTGTCTGCTACAGACACAACACCTTTTTTGAGGTGAATTTTGGGTTGGGGTACCAGGAATGGCATCAGGAAAATGCCTCTCATGCAGCCGGCTCACTGCATCTGGGTTGGGAGTTTGGGCCACAGCACCTTCTGGATACAAAAGGGCCGTGATAATCTCTTATTGGAATTTTAGGAAGGATCCACATCATCCAGTTGCTTTGAAAGCGTTGTACAGAGCCAATTGAAATAAATATACAGACACTTTTTTATACCAGCATCTGGCTTTTCAGGAAACTAAGTACGGCTTCATCATCTGGTCATTGAAGTCCACCCCTCCCATGTTAAAGTTATAGTCATGGACACAGTCGTGTCTGCGTGAATAAAAGACAGGACAAAAACATCCCTTTTGTCCTTCCACTTCACTGTGAGCAATTCATCATTTTTCAAGCAGGCTTTTTCCCCTTTTCTAAGATGGGTATTTACAAGCTGTTGGGGGAAGCCCCAGCGAATAGTTTGCACGGTACCACATGCCCCAATTTCAATATTGTACAAATGTCTAAATTATGGCACACTTGTAAAAAAATTGTTAAATTGTATAGGTGGTACCCCATGTGGAAAAAGGGTGACACCAAGTCCAAAACTATCTTGCAACTGCTCCCCATGTGGTCTGGGCATCCAGAGGGGCTTTACATGACTATCGTTTCCCTCGTAAATCCAAAACTTACATGTGTAGCCTGGGTCACCCTGAGGACGACAGAGTGTATTGTCATTGAGATGCATAAATCGCATTATAGTCTCATATCTATGACTGGCTATGGTAGCAGGAACATGGAAATATGTTGAATCGGATCTGTCTACCAATACAACCACAACTGATTTTTTTTAATAATGCCCATGTTGAGAGTTAGGCCCAAAAAACTTTAAATTTTGAAACCGTAATAGGTTTCCATGCAAATGGTCTGGCAAGTTTTGAATTTGGGTTAGCGGTGATAAATTGTTGTGCATATATATATATATATATATATATATATATATATATATATATATATATATATATATATATATATATATATATAAATAAAGGGGATTTAAATTTGCTGTTTCCACCTGAATTCCGGGTTGGGCAGTGAATGGGGGAAGTACGGGTGCTGCAGAATTTGTGGGCTACCAATCAGGATTTGCAAGCACATCCAGAAGGACACTATGGGCTCTACAGGCCTGTGTTTGAATTCTTGGTCTCTGCGGGACACTACCTGTGCTTGTCACCGCACCAGCTTGTACTTCACTTATGGGACTTGCCACATCACTAAATGATACTGCAGTGCTCGTATGTAAAAGACCATGATGTACTAGGCTGCTGGTGCTCACCAGTTCACCAAAAGGTAGAGCGACACTATTACTGGCAATCTGCTGTATATGAGCATCATCATGCGATTGTAGCACCTCAGCAACCTGGGAATGGTGTCGGTACTTCTTTCATTCATCCATAGATATGCAATAGTAGTAGAGCAGAAAGTGAACATCCAATTTATCTCCAAATCTCCATGAAAAGTAATAGAGACATATGCTCTGACATATATTCAAAATATGCTTTTTTTTAACTATAATTATTTTAGGAATTTGAACAAGTAAATACTTGGTTTTGACAAACATTTCTTATTGTACACCATTCTGCTACCTTGAACAACAATCACAGCTGCAATTCAGCCACTTCTTAGCCAATGTCAATTAGTATTACATTTTAATTCCACAATAGGAAGGCACAAAAGTTAATGGATGGGAATAAACAAGTATACAACTCCACTTCTGTTCAGCTAGTTGATGTACTGATACCACACTGTGAGAGATAATTACAGCATAATAAACTTGGCCGTGAAGCAATTTTACAGTCATCTTGGGTAAATTTACAAAATGATATATAGAAATGTCTTTAGAAAAATAGCAATAGTGCACTCTACTGATAGTTTGCAATACTTCTGAACAAAAAAGTAAATATAATGTTTAAAAGGCTCTGGGCTACGATATAAAATAAAAGTGCAAGTGCAAAGGAGCAATTGTTGGTCAGGTCCTAGGAGATTGAAGTACTCCTGTTACCAGTGATTGTCCTGTAATGGTGTCAGCAATGATATTTCAAGTCTGCTAGGGTTAGGGCTTTGCTGTAACACTCCCAAGCCACCACAAACAGCTTTCTCACACAGTGGCCCCTGAAGGTGTAATAACCCACCAAAGTAAACCACCAAATAGTGAAGTAGTACAATATGCAAATCTGAAATTTGAGACATGTGGCTTTCAGGCATAAAGTAGGTGGTAGATATCCTATTACCTAGAACCAAGAAATGTAAGGCTGAAGTCAGGAAGCAAATGGTACAAGGCAGAAATAAAGGAAAATATGTATTGTAGGTGTAGAAGCTAGGACTAAACCCTAGAACCAAAGACCCAAGCCTAGACACAAGATTCAGCATTTTCCTAGATAGCTGCTAGGATTACGGGAATCTACTTTGGCTCACTGTAATTAGTGTGGCTATTTGTGATTGTTTAGGTCTGTTCTGTTTTTCACAGGCTGCAGGATTGATTACTCTCCCTTCCTTCTAGAACCTACTGGATGGTCCTGGAACACAGAATTAACAGCATGCATACTTATACTGTCTCAGCCAATCCCTGTGGGAATATGCCCCCCCCCCAACAACCACCTGTTATGTGTTTTCTGATGATTGCGGTCCCAGCTGGCCGAGCTGGGGGGGGCAGGTTATGCTGGAAGTTGCTGGAGCTGACTGAAGGGGTCTGTTATCTGTGGATCTGGTCTGGTATCACATGGAGAAAATGTATGGAGAGCATTGGAAGGAGGCAGCCAATCATCTGAAGACATTTGCGAGTACAGATAGTTGTGAAAGATCCTAGAGACTGTGGGCTGATGCCAACCCACTGATGTTAGAGAGTCAGTTTTGTGTTACAGAGACAAACTGTGCAGTCTATTTCATTTTTAGTGAAAAAAGATTGCTTGGACTGTCCCAAGAGGAAGATTAATCTCCTCAATTTGCTTCTACAACACTTAGTCCATTTCTTTTATTTGTGCAAGGACTTGGCTCATAGTTCTACAGAAGAGAAAGTGTCCTCCTATTTGTACATAGTTCTGGAGTATCCCACCCAAATTCCCTATCCCCATGCAAGTTAACTAAAAATAAAAAAAAAAAAGAAAGAATACCCTTGGACTGTTCATTGAGCCAAAGAGCAACTGTGACCGTGTGTCCGGCTGTGGGGCAACTATTGCGAAAAGAACCTTGGCCATCTGTCAAGAGGCTCCTATATGGGTAACGCTACAGTAAGATGAGTCCTACATTTACCCTTAGAGGTAGATGTAGGCAAATTTACAAAAAACCCACAAGAAAGAAAGGATACAGCACCTCAATGGCTAATGAACAGGATATATTTATTGGACGTAAAAAATGACAATGCGCATCCCATACATTCCCTCCCCCCACCCAAAAACTAGCCCCCACCCCCAAAGAAAACCCCTCCAGAAGGCACAGCTCCACCCCCACGGGTGGAGGCTGGATCTGTTCAGTGCTGACCATATGTCCTTAATAACCACCTTCCGCCCACCATATAGTACAATGACGGGCGCAAGGTGGTTCTCTCGTTCTGATAGGACGTCATATGACATCCTTCCATTCTTACCGCACATGCGCGGCTCAGGGAGCGCGCAGCGCGGCGATCGGCGGTGCGCTGTGTCCCTCGGACACAGCAGATCACGGAAAGAGCCGAAGATGTCGGCTCAGTCATGTGATCAGCTGTGTCCGATCACAGCTGATCACATGTAAACAGGGAAATGCAGGTTATCAGCATTTCTCTCCTCTCGAGCTGTCACGCTGACAGCTTGAGAGGAGAGGAGAGCCGGTAATTGGCTTTCCGCAGAGGGGACATGTACACTGATCATGAGGGCACTGATGATCAGTATGCCCTGATGATCAGTGTGGCCCCAGAAGTGCCACCTGTCAGTGTCCATCAGTGCCAGCAGTCAGTGCTCATCAGTCCCACGTGCCAGTGCCCATCAGTGCCACTTCAATGCCACATATCAGTGCATACCAGTGCACATCAGTGCCACATATCAGTGCCCATCTGAGCTGCCTTTCAATGTCACCCATCAGTGCCAGTCAGTGCCACCTATCAATGCCAATCAGTGCCACCTATCAGTGCTGCCAATCAGTGCCACCTATCAGTGCCAGTCAGTGTCGCCTATGAGTGCACATCAGTGCCGCCTATCAGTGCCAGTCAGTGCCGCCTATCAGTGCCAGTCAGTGCCGCTTAACAGTGCCAGTCAGTGCTGCCTACAAGTGCAAGTCAGTGCCACCTATCAGTGCCAGTCAGTGCTGCCTATCAGTGCCGCCTATCAGTGCCATATATCAGTGTCATGTATCAGTGCTGCCTTTCAGTGCCCATCAGTGATGCCTGTCAATGCCCATCAGTGCAACCTACCTGTGCCTCCTCATCAGTGCCCATCAGTGCCACCTATCAGTGTCCATCAGTGCAGCCTATCAGTGCCCATCACTGCAGCCTCATTAGCGCACATCAGTGAAGGAGAGAAATCACTTATTTACAAAATTGTATAACAAAAACTAAGAAAACACTTTTTTTTTTCAAAATTTTCAGTGGTATTTGGTTTGTTTAAGAAAAAATAAAAATCCCAGAGGGGATTAAATACCACCAAAAGAAACCTCTATCTGTCTCAAAAAAATGATAAAAATTTCATATGGGTGCAGTGTTGCATGACTGCACAATTGTCATTCAAAATGTGACAGCGCTGAAAGCTGGAAATTGGCCTGCGCAGGAAGGGGTATAAGTGCCCTGTAGGCTAGTGGTTAAAGCTCTGATAACAGTCTTGTGAACACAAGAGAAACAGAGCACACCATAGATTGAGTTACATAAGAACTTTTATGTGGCACACAGTTGCCTTGTTGTTTTTCTCCATTGGAATACTTTGTGGAACTGATATCACTGCAGGCTTATTCAGATCTGGTTTACAGCATATCTCTAGCAGGATTTGACACTTGCCTATATTGTTTACAGCTTTATTTAGCAGGGTCTATAGGGAGGCTCCATCTGCACAGTGAGGGAGGACAGGGAGAGATGTGGAGGGCTGGCCCTTGTCACCCGCATCTCTTTCTGAGATTTTGTGGGGTGGAGGGGGAGTAGAGGAGGGGGTCTGCTGTGGGGGTTGAGGGGTTATTGCAGGGGTGGAGCTGTGCCTTCTGGAGGGGTTTTCTTTGGGGGTGGGGGATGGTTTTTGGACAGGCGGTGGGGGGAGGGAATGTATGGGATGTGCATTGTCATTTCTTACGTCCAATAAATATATCCTGTTCATTAGCCATTGAGGTGCTGTATTCTTTCTTTCTTGTGGGTTTTTTGCAAGTTATTGCTTTTGGATGCACCTCTCCCCTGTTATATGTATGCAGGGGGTATGGCATGAGCTGGTGCACCACTCCCAGGACAGGCTGTTTAGCCATTGGGGGTTTCTTTACATGGATGTATGCAAATACAGGATACCGTTATCTTTTGCAGGTCATACTAAAAATACAATACTCAACAATGACGTTGACAGGAAGGAGTGGAAGTACATAGAAAGTTTGAGCTCTGTTTAAAAGATGACTGTAAAGACAGTGGCATACCTAGCATATTTAGCACCAGGGTCTGATCATTTTTTAACACTCCCCCCATATAAAAAATTATTTTAAGGAATGCCTATGTTCGGCAGAGCATGATGAATGAGGGGCTTGGGCAAATTTTGCTAAAAGTGAGATGATCTTAAAGTGGAATGGTTACATAAAACCTGATGCCTAGAACACTCTGCACAATAATTGCTGGTCAGTGGCTGGCTGTAAGAGTGACACTTACAACCCTGGTACCTGTCTAGTGTCTAACTGAAATAATAAACCCCTCAGGATAGGCCACTGACTGGCTGTAATCTGCCATCAGAAATCATAGTGAACATTTAGAGCTAGTTTAAAGAGAAAACAGGTGGCGCACACACCTAGTGCATTATCCAAGGTTTATTGTAAAGAGTAAAAAATAATAAAAACATACTCACAAACGAAGCATGTATCTAAAAAGCATAGAAAAATGACGATGGCCACAACGGCATGCAAGGTGTCCTCACTGTCAGTGTGGTCAAATGGCTGACACGTTTCGGGGACGAATCCCTTTCCTCAGAGCTAATTACCAGCCTCTGATGCAGATGTGTAATGGATGAAAAGTGGGAGCCTTGCTGGTGATGCCTGTGTGGGATGGTGTGGGAGTGTGCTTTATGCCTGTGGGGCAATGGCTAGCTTAAAGCACTGTATGCGGAGCCAGTACTCGTCTCCCTTTGATACATCAAAGTCTCTTCCAGGTATCAGAGGGAGACTGCTGCAGCCCTGAAGACTGGGCTGCGAGGTGTCCAATAGCATGCCTCACAAAACAGGACTGCCTGCACCTGCCTCCCTCATCCCCAGGCAGATGCTTCTTTCAGTGCTGGGTGATGGACTGCAAAGAGCATTCCCCTACCTGGCACACTACTGCTACTCTGCATGTCACACTGGGGCACCTCTAAGTGGTGATACACCTGGTGCAAACTACACCCCCTATACTCCCCTAGGTACACCACTGTATACATTCTAATTATATATAACTAGCAGCAAACGTGTTACATGAACATTATAGACAGCTAAACCTTTATACTAGAATTCTTTAGTGGCTTTGTTGTGGACAGTTTTCCTTTTTTAATTTTAATAATTAACTGACAAATTCACCTATTTTTGTTTTAATTTGCAGTCTAAAATGTTGTAGAGAAAAGGAAAATTGTATATTAAACTGGCAGCTCCATAGCAGACATTGTAAGAGTCCTACTTTTACCTAAACTCTCCTTCCCTACATGCTTCTAGAGACTCTGGAAATACCTGATAAGCCTTCAGTTTCTTCTTCCATAGGTACAAGTATTGTCTTTCTTGCATAGAAATTTCAATGGCTCTTGCCACAGATCCCCAGATGCAAAGATCTACCAACAAGTATGTAGTTTATTCCCACCAAGGTCTAGATCAGGCCACCAATCTTTCTAAACAAAGGGCCATTTTACTGTGCTGTTGTATTAATAGAAGAATAATGCCCCATTGCTGTTGTCAGTTGAAGGAATAGTGCCCCATTGAGGTGTCAATAGGAGGAAGAGTGGATCATCCTTGTTGTCAAAGGGAAGAATAGTGCCCCATTGTTGTTGTCAGTTGAAGTAATAGTGCCCCATTGTTGGTGTCAGTGAAAGTAATAGTGCCCCCTTGTTGGTGTTAGTGGGAGGAATAGTGCCCCAAGGGCTGGATAAAGCCCTGGCCACATCTGTTTGGAGTTTGGAGACCACTGCCCTAGATGGTTGTTCATATATGTTTCTGGGAGTCTCCTGCTCATAAACAAACCTACCAATTCTTAGCAAGCAACTGTGGACTACTTGTGTTATTTAATGCTATTCTGGTAGTGCTAGGCTAGATCTAGGAGCCACAGTCATTCTGTAAAGCCTTGACCGGTCTCCTAAATGGCAGTAGGGAAATAGTTATGTATAGTACAATGGACTGTCTGTGGTGGCAGGCTTGGATTCTTTTGCTCTACAGGGTCACTTTAACATTCTTTCAGACAGGAGATTAAGTAGCCACTTGCTTAGACCGGCAAACATAAGGATACAGCTACTCTGTGGTTTTAATCTTGGGATGCTCCACTGATTTATCCTATTAACTCAATTTACCATGAAAACATAGCATGACATGAAGGCTTTTCCAAATAGAGCTCTGTCCAGGTTTTCTGTCTACACAGGGGAAATTCTTGTAACATTTCTCTGAAGTCTGATTCGTTTCTGCTGACAACTTCTTCTAAATAATCGTTTTCATTATAAAAAATATAATATCCTTAACTGTAATTTTACAATAGTTATCATTATTATAAAGCAGCCCCTGCATTAAATTAATGGAGCTGATTTTATGATAAAGACTAAAGATTAAGGTATTAGTAATTTTGTTATGTTTTTCTAAGATCTATGTAGATACATGGAATGAAATAACATCCTGTGTTTTTATAAAAGCAGGTCAAAAGTTATTTGATTGTCAAATGACCTGAGGACATACATCTTTTACTGCTTGCAAGGTAATATATCAACAATGCTTATGCAAAGCTAAACTGAATCAATTGCAATTTGCAGCTGTCATTTAGGCCTTGTTGTAGGGTGAAGCTCTGTTTGTGTTTAAAGAGGTAATAAAGTCTAAATGTTTTTGAGACTGCATTAAGATAAAAAAATTATCCACTACCTGTCCTCCCATCCTCCTCCACATCCCTAAGCACTTACCTGGTTCCATATCACCGGTCCAGCACTCTATCTATCTATCTATCTATCTATCTATCTATCTATCTAGCTATCATCCCATTAGTTGTTAAAGTAATATCATTATTTTTATTTCTGTAACTCTTTATTTATATTGCACTAACATATTCTATGCTATAAGACAGTGAACATGTAACAAATATAAAATAGATGTTATCCTAATCTGGCTGTGTGGCTGGCTGGTCCAAACTATTTTCTTTCACAAATACAAGTCAGCGCTGTATTAACTGTGTGTAGCCTCAGGCTTTGTGCTGGTTAGCCATTCACAAGAAGCTAGTAGAAATAAAACAGTGAAAAACTCCTGCGCCAACTAAATAATGTGCAATAAATAAATGCGGCTGACATCAATATGTGTTCCCACGTGAATGTGCAAATATTGAAAATAAATGATGTAGCACTGCTAACTAAAACATATCTACATAATAAACTTGATATATAGCATGATGCTGTGCAGAAAATTAATTCAAATATATCTTAACAACAAAATGCAAAAGAGTAGCTTCAATAGATCAGTCCATATATCACATACTGTATGTGACCAACACCACTGATTTTCAAAGTGCTCCTGCTTAAAATCCACTTTGTGCAATCTTGTGCCACCTTAGTGCTCCCAGAACTCTCACCTCCAGTTCTCTTTAAAATACCATGTATGTAATATCTCAGTTTTTCTACTCCACTCCTTATAGACACTCCATATCCCTCTTCTCCTCTTAGATACAGTGAGGAACAGAAGTATTTGAATACCCTAAAATTTTGCAAGTTCTCCCACTTAGAGATCATGGAGGGGTCTGAAATTCACATTGTAGGTGCATTCCCACTCTGAGAGACAGAATTTACAAAACAAATTCAGTAAATCACACTGTATGATTTTTAAAGAATTTATTTGTCTTTCACTGCTGAACATAAGTATTTGAACACCTAAGAAACAGCAAGAATTCTGGCTCTCAAAGACCTGTTACTGTACCTTTAAAAAGTCCATCTCTACTCCACTCATTAATCTAACTTAGTAGCACCTGTCTGAGCTCTTTAAAGACACCTGTTCACCCCACAGTCAGTCAGACGCCAACTACTACCATGGGCAAGACCAAAGAGCTGTCAAAAAACACCAGAGACAAAATTGTGGACCTCCACAAGGCTGGAAAGGGCTACGGGGCAATTGTCAAAGCAGCTTGGTGAAAATAGATCAACTGTTGGAGCAATTGTTAGAAAATGGAAGAGGCTAAAGACGACTGCCAGTCTCCCTCGGACTGGGGCTCCATGCAAGATCTCACCTCGTGGGGTATCACTGATGATAAGAAAGGTGAGGAATCAGCCCAGAACTACAAGGGAGGAGCTAGTCAATGACATGAAGAGAGCTGGGACCACAGTTTCAAAAGTCACTGTCGGTAGAACACTACGCTGTCATGGTTTCAAATCATGCATTGCACAGAAGGTTTCCCTGCTCAAGTCATCACATGTCCAGGCCCGTCTGAAGTTTGCCAATGACCATCTGTATGATCCAGAGGAGGCATTGGAGAAAGTCATGTGGTCAGATGAGACCAAAGTAGAACTTTTTGGTCTAAACTTCACTCGTCGTGTTTGGAGGAAAAAGAAGGATGAGTTGCATCCCAAGAACACCATCCCTACTGTGAAGCATGGGGGTGGTAACATCATGTTTTGGTGGTGCTTTTCTGTGAAGGGGACAGGACGACTGCACTGTATTAAGGAGAGGATGAATGGGCATTTATTGTGAGATTTTGAGCAACAACCTCCTTCCCTCAGTCAGAGCATTGAAGATGGGTCGTGGCTGGGTCTTCCAACATGACAACGACCCGAAGCACACAGCCAGGATAACCAAGGACTGGCACCGTAAGAAGCATATCAAGGTTCTGGAGTGGCCTAGCCAGTCTCCAGACCTAAATCCAAAAGAACATCTTTGGAGGGAGCTGAAACTCCATGTTGCTCAGCGACAGCCCCGATACCTGACAGATCTAGAAGTGATCTGTGTGGAGGAGTGGGCCAAAATCCCTGTTGCAGTGTGTGCAAACCTGGTCAAGAACTACAGGAAACGTTTGACCTCTGTAATTGCAAACAAAGGTTTCTGTACCAAATATAAACACTGATTTTCTCAGGTGTTCAAATACTTCTGTTCAGCAGTGCAAGACAAATAACTCTTTAAAAATCATACAATGTGATTTCCTGATTTTTTTTTTTAATTCTGTCTCTCAGAGTGGGAATGCACCTACAATGTGAATTTCAGACCCCTCCATGATTTCTAAGTGGGAGAACTTGCAAAATCGCAGGGTGTTCAAATACTTCTGTTCCTCGCTGTAAATGCCTGGTTGTGTCAGAAGCACCACATCTACTTTAGATGAGCCATATCAACTTGTTCATAAATGCAAAAAATAACGCTTCATATGGTGCATTCAACTTTAAAAACAATAGCATTTATTACAAATGTTGCACTCACATAAAACAGCATAAAAATGCTTTTACAATCCCATATCGCAATTCCGTGTGTGTCACTTCTTATTGCTTTCTGCCTCCAACTATGCATTGTGTCACAGTCACGTGACTTCATCAGGGGATCCCCTGGAAATTACATAGTAAAAACTCTTTTTTTTACTCTTGCAGCCCCCCAAACTCCTGAAGAGTGGTGGAGGGCCCCAGGTGCTTCGGTAAGCTAGTTTTTCACCACATTGTTGACTCTTTGTGGGGTGGAAGGAATTGGGCTCCAGTCACTTTAATAAGTTTAACAGAGTTTATTATAGAACCATAAACTCAGGCAAGGAGGGGTTATGGCATAGGGTATCTGTAAATGACCCAAAATGCAGACTCCAATCCTTACCCACAGTCATTAGAGTAAAAGAGCCTCTTTAGCAAGAATTTGCATTCTCTTTAGACTATGTAGGAGAACTTTAAGGCAGCACACTTATTCCCTGGATGAGCTACCAGAATGCCCTACAATGTCTTCTGGCAGTATCTTCTACCCAGCTCTCCAAGACAATTTTCAGCAGTATAGTATTTTGCTTCAAACCAGGTAACCAGAGATTCTTAGGCCTCTAACCTAGGCCTCTCCTCTAGCAAAGGCCTCTTGGTAGCAGTCTAAGAGGCAACAGACCTTTCCTAGGTCACGCCAAAGATTTGCATCCTTCCCCAGCATGCATCATTGGCAATAAGCCTCCAGGGAGGTCAGGGAGACATACTGTAAATATTCATAAATCAGAATTATTGTATCTTCTCATACAATAGTAGTTCCTTTAGCCTTTTGGTAAATAAGAGTATTGCTGATGTCTCACTGACTAGGGTTACATACATTGAAGGAAATTTAACAAAACTGGAACAGGTATGCATATCAACCAGGGGCAGACTGTCAACTCATGGGGCCCCCGGGCAATAGGGGATCATGGGGCCCCTGTGTCCTCGCCCAAACTCAAACAACACCCAAAAAAGCCTACGAAAAGGTACCAGGGGCATCTCATGGGGCCCCTTACTGACGCTGGGCCCTCGGGCAGTGCCCGAGTTCCCAAATGGTCAGTCCGCCCCTGATGTCAACCAATCAGCTCTATCTTTAATTTTCAAAGCTCAGCTGAACAAGGTGAAGATAGAAGCTGATTTGTTGCCATGCACAGCTAGTCTACATTCTGTGTGCTCCAGGTTTGATAAATCCCCTTCCCTCCCCAGTATGTTCAGCACTGAATGATAACATCACAGTCTGCAAGTTTCAGTCCCCAATAAATGCACAGGTTTGTTTGCTTTTCCATCATGGCAGTTTCCTTAAAAATCCTTTTTTTTTAAAAAAAAAGAATATATTCCTGTGTGTAGTTTATTCATTTGTAGATGACATTGCTACAAAGTCAGGTTCCACGCATATTTCTTCCTTCGAATGTTATTTTACTGTCCGCAAAACCTTAAGCCCCATGTCACTATATATTTTGGATGAGATGTTTTAGATTTCGCAGGACCTTAATCTGAGCATTATGCTCTTTTATCTTCATACTGTACACGTCCTTGTTCCCAGTCATAGTAATATTAAATATTTCAATTGCCTTTGACAACAGAGGAAAACAGTCTCCATTCTGATTACATCATTGCTGCCATTTAACCTTTAGCTGATTTATTTGATGTCAAAGAGAGCCACTGTAACAATAATTGCTTGAAATGGTGAGTTTATTTTCCCCTGCTGTCAAACCATAGCCTAGACAATTAACAAAAAACCTGCAGTTACTTGTCATTACAGCATTCGAAACATAACTTGATTTGGCTTATTTCCCATATTTAAATTGTGCCACCATACTGTGCAATGCTTTACAGAGTGCATAGAACCATTCACATCAGTTTAAGCTTTGGCAAGACCTTATGGCCCTACTACATTCATATACAATCAGGGCCTAGATCTGTGAGACACTTCTTAACCAACTGGTATCTTTTGGTGTTGTGGGTGAAGACCACACCATCCAGGGGACACTCAGGTAAACACAGGGAATATACACAAACTCCATGCAGATACTGTACTGTTGATAGAGACACCAAAGTTGCATGTTAGGTTTAGGGTTGATGGCTAAGGTTAGAGTTAAATGTTAGGGCTATGGTTAAATGTTAGGGTTAGGGTTAGCGTTTCAACCCTAACAATTACCACTAACCCTAACTCTATTCTTAATCCTAACTCTATCTCTAACTTTATCCCTAATATTTAACCCTAAGCCTTAACCCTAACTCTAGCCCTTAACCCTAACATGCGACTTCGGTCACATAAAGGGTTCTGCACTACTTTGATGAAAATGTGGTGCTTCTTGAGTGCCAGAGAGGGTGTAAAGTTGCATCAAATTCACATCAAAGTCACACTACATGAGCAGAACTGACATACTTTCCTATTAACCAAAAGAAAAAAAAATGAAAAACACACAAAAAACACAGCAAAAATGTGGCAAAAACACAACACTTGCATTTTTGGTGCAGGTCCATTGAAGTCTATTACACGTAAAACCCAATCTGCTGTGGGAAGAAATGTCTCTGACCCTTTCCAAAAACCACACCGACTCAAAACGTACAGATTTGAACTAGATCCATAAGAAATCATGTTAAATGGACTGTAGTTCAGTTCTGCAAACTGGAAAACGCACTGTAATCTGCATAAGTGTGAACCTAGAGTAAATCAATCCAACTTATCCAAAAAGTGGGAAAGGGCGTAGCTTGTATACAGGGGCGTATTTGCTGCAAGGCAAACAAGGCGTTTGCCTAGGGCGGCACTTTTTAGGGGGGCAGTGTGGCAGCGATGCCACCCATCCCCCTTTCCCACAGAAGGGACACTTAGTACAGGGGCGGGCTGCTATACCTTACCTGGGTCATGACTCTGTGTCCCAGTCCCACATCGATCTGGTCCACGAGGCGCTGCTGGAGGAGGGGAAGAGAGGTTGTCAGGTCAGCTGGTCTGGTGTCTTCATTTTCCTTGATCACGATGTGTGGGCGGGATGACATGCGCCCCTGTCATCTGGCCACACCCCCAAGATCACTCAACAGCCTATGGCAGCTTGTCCTTCCCTCTGCAAGCTCCACCTCCTTGACGGTGATTGGCCACCGAAACTGTAGCTCAGGAAAGGCACACAGGCGGCCAATCGCTGGTGAGGAGGCGGAGCTTGGAGAGCAGGAGCCGAGCGGCAACGCGAAGATCAAAGAAGATCGAGTGAGGGAGAAGGAACACAGCTGACAGGTAAGTGTCTGTGCCGTGCAGATGATGCTGCTGCAGACAGGTATGCTGGCTGTGGATGGGATAGGGAGCGAGCCCTGGCTGGAGCAGGGGTCAGCAAGGTAAGTATCATTGGTGTCAGTGGGAGGAATAGTGCCCCATCATTGGTATTCCTCCCACTGACACCAATGGTGGGGCACTATTACCCCCCACTAACACCAACGATGGGGCCCTATTCCCCCCCCCCCACTGACACCAACGATGGGGCACTATTCCTCCCCCCACTGACACCAACGATGGGGCACTATTCCTCTCCCCACTGACAACAACGTTGGGGCACTATTCCTCCCCCCACTGACACCAACGTTGGGGCACTATTCCTCCCTCACTGACACCAACGATGGGGCACTATTCCTCCCCCCACTGACACCAATGATGGGGCACTATCCCCCCCCACTGACACCAATGATGGGGCACTATTCCCCCCCCACTGACACCAGTGATGGGGCACTATTCCCCCCCCCCACTGACACCAATGAATGGGCACTATCCCCCCCCTCCACACTGACATCAATGGTGGGCACTATTCCCCCCCCCACACTGACATCAATGATGGGGCACTATCCCCCCCCACTGACATCAATGATGGGACACTATTCCCCCCCCACACTGACACCAATGATGGGACACTATCCCTCCCCCAATGACACCAATGACGGGGCACTATTACTCCCACTGACTCCAATGACGGGGCACTATTCCTCCCACTGACACCAATGACGGGGCACTATTCCTCCCACTGATACCAATGATGGGGCACTATTCCTCCCACTGACACCAATGATGGAGCACTATTCCTCCCACTGACACTAATGATGAGGCACTATTTCTCCCACTGACACCAATGATGGGGCACTATTCCTCCCACTGACACCAATGATGGGGCACTATTCCTCCCACTGACACCAATGATGGGGCACTATTCCTCCCACTGACACCAATGATGGGACGCTATTCCTCCCACTGATACCAAGGACGGGACACTATTCCTCTCACTGATACCAATGATGGGGCACTATTCCTTCCCCCACTGACACCAATGATGGGTCACTATTCCTCTCACTGATACCAATGATGGGGCACTATTCCTCCCACACTGACACTAATGATGGGGCACCATTGTTGATGTGTGGGAGGAATAGTGCCCCATCATTGGTGTCAGTGGGAGGAATAGTGCCCCATGATTGGTGTTAGTGTGGGAGGAATAGTGTCCCATTGTTGGTGTCAGTGGGAGGAATAGTGCCCCATCATTGGTGTCAGTGGGAGGAATAATGCCCTATCATTGGTGTCAGTGAGAGGAATAGTGCCCCACTGTTGAGAGATTATTAAATTGAGAGAGATTATTATATGTTTGTTATATTATTATTTTAAACAACTAATAGAGCGCGGCACCCAATCTATTTATTGCTATTTTGTTGATGCACACCACGTGAGGGTGAGCAAGGACGCCTGCGACATATTATATTGTTTATATATACACATATATATGTATCCTTCAGTGGCTCACAAGTAAATTTTACACAAGGAGTGCCCCACTGTTGTTGTCCGTGGGAAGAATAGCACCCCATCGTTGTTGTCAGTGGGCGGAGCTCTAATAGGAAAAGGTGGAGCCTGAATAGGATGAGGTGCCGCCCTGCCACTGTGTATATACGTGTGCAGGGCGGCAGTGGAGCGCAAAACCACGTTTAAAAACGGGTTCCGCGCTCCCGACACTTTCGCCGGCAGGGGGCGCGCGCGCGCGCTCCCGCCGACCCGCGGGTGATCCGATTCGATCCAGGAGGGATCAATCATTAGATTTCAGCCAGTGATTTCTGGCTGAAATCGGATGATCGGTCCCTGTCCTATCCTGTCCTGTGTTGATATTTACACAGGACAGGATATGATGTCATTCTTCTCTGCCTGGACACATTCCGTTCCAGACAGAGAAGAAGAGACATTTAAACGTGAGTAAAACAGCACACTGACAGTTAGAACACAGTCTAGGACACATTTAACCCCCTGATTGCCCCCCCCCCAGTTAACCCTTCACTGCCCTGTCACCAGTGTCACTGATCAGTGAAGCGATTTTTATTGATCACTGTATCAGTGTCGCTGGCGACTTCCAATAGTGCTAGCGCGCCCCTCCCAGATAGCGCCAGTTTGCCCCCCAGTACACCAATAAAGCCATTTAAAACCCCTTAATTCCCCCCCCCCCCCAGTTAACCCCTTAACTGCCCTGTCACCAGTGTCACTGATCAGTGAAGCGATTTTTACTGATCACTGTATCAGTGTCGCTGGCGACTTCCGATAGTGTTAGCGCCCCTCCCAGATAGCGCCAGATTGCCCACTAATACACCAGTAGTCCCGTCTAACCCCTTGATCGCCCCCCCCCCCCCCTGAGTTGACCCCTTCACTGCCCTGTCACCAGTGTCACTGATCAGTGAACCAATTTTTACTGATCACTGTATCAGTGTCGCTGGCGACTTCCGTTAGTGTTAGCGCCCCTCCCAGATAGCGCCAGATTGCCCGCTAATACACCAGTAGTCCCGTCTAACCCCTTGATCCCCCCCCCCCCCTCCCCGAGTTGACCCCTTCACTGCCCTGTCACCAGTGTCACTGATCAGTGAACCAATTTTTACTGATCACTGTATCAGTGTCGCTGGCGACTTCCGTTAGTGTTAGCGCCCCTCCCAGATAGCGCCAGATTGCCCGCTAATACACCAGTAGTCCCGTCTAACCCCTTGATCGCCCCCCCCCCCCCTGAGTTGACCCCTTCACTGCCCTGTCACCAGTGTCACTGATCAGTGAACCAATTTTTACTGATCACTGTATCAGTGTCGCTGGTGACTTCCGTTAGTGTTAGCGCCCCTCCCAGATAGCGCCAGATTGCCCGCTAATACACCAGTGATCCCGTCTAACCCCTTGATCCCCCCCCCCCCCCCCTGAGTTGACCCCTTCACTGCCCTGTCACCAGTGTCACTGATCAGTGAACCAATTTTTACTGATCACTGTATCAGTGTCGCTGGCGACTTCCAATAGTGTTAGTGCCCCCCTCCCAGATAACCCCGCCAGTTACCCCTTCACCCGCCAGTACATCAGTAATCCCATTTAAGTGCCCCCCCTTGAGTTCGCCCCCCCCCCCCAGTTAACCCCTTCACAGTTAACCCCCCTGTCACCACCAGTGTCATTGATTACAGTGAACAGATTTTTACTGATCACTGTATTTAGTGTGACTTGGTACTGGTGACTTCCGATAGTTTTAGCGCCCCTCCCAGATAGCACCAGTTTGCCCGCTAGTACACAAATAATCACATTTGACCCCTTGATTGCCAGGAACACGCTTACTTGCACGCTAAACCTTCATTGCTAGTATAGTGTCTGATTGGATCAATATCTTTGATCAGATCAGCGCTATACCAGCATTCACATTACTTTAGTATCCCCAAAAACGCAGTGTTAGCGGGATCAGCCCCAACACCTGCCAGCACCTGCGTTTTAGCCCCTACGCCCCCCCCCTTCTCCCCCAGCAAGTGCAAGTGCAGTGTCAGTAGATAACTGTCACTTGATACATATTACACACAAAACCGCAGTGTTCACAGAATCAGGCCTGATATCTGTTAGCACTTGTCGGTAAATTTTTTGTAGCGGTTCAAGCAGTCCCTGACAGCCAGGCTCTCTTTTTCCCGTGAGTCGCACTAGGTACCTGTAAATTTAGTGGCCAAAATGTCTAAGCAAAGGTACACTAGTGAAGAGGCCTATAGGATTCTGAGCATGTCAAGTGAGAGCGAAGGGGAAAGACTCACTGGCAGAACCAGGCTCAGAATACGAACCTATAGACAGCAGCGGCACCCTGACAGCTAGCTCAGACGACGAGGAAGTGGTCCCTGCTAAGGTCAGGCGTACCCGATCCCATTCACAGGTTGCTGAGGTGGTACAAATGCATGATGACTCTCATATGCAGCAGAGTGCCAGTACTAGTGCCGCAGTATCTTTTGGTGAACTGGCGAGCACCAGCGGCCTAGTACGTCCTGGTCGTAGGCATACCAGCACTGCAGTATCACTTGGTGACGTGGCGAGTCCCATAAGTGCAGTACAAGCTGGTGCGGTGGCGAGCACAAGTAGTGTCCCGCGGCCACCAAGAATTCGCAGACAGGCCCGTAGAGCCCCTAGTGTCCTTCCGGATGTGCTTGCAAATCCCGATTGGCAGCCCACAAATTCTGCAGCACCCGTACTTCCCCCATTCACTGCCCAACCCGGAATTCAGGTGGAAACAGCAAATTTAAATACTCCCCTTAATTTTTTTGAGCTGTTTTTCACAGAAGATCTTTATGCATTGATTGTGGATCAAAGCAATTTATATGCACGACAATTTATCGCCGCCAACCCAAATTCAAACCTTGCCAGACCATTCGCATGGAAACCCATTACGGTTTCCGAATTTAAAGTTTTTTTGGGCCTAACCCTCAACATGGGCATTAATGATAAAAATCAATTGCGGTTGTATTGGTCCACCGACCCTCTTGTTCACATGTCCGTGTTCTCTGCTGCCATGGCCAGGCATAGATATGAGACGATAAGGCGTTTTATGCACTTCTACGACAACTCACTCAGTCGTCCTCGGGGTGACCCTGAATTTGACCGGCTCCACAAAATTCGGCCCCTCGTAAATCACTTTAACCAAAAATTTGCAGATGTGTATACTCCCCAGAAAAACATCTGCATCGATGAGTCCCTCATTCAATATTCTGGCCGCCTTGTAATCAAACAATATCTCCCCAGCAAGCGTGCCAGATATGGGATCAAGATGTATAAGACCTGTGAGAGGGCAACAGGCTATACATGTAAGTTTCGGATTTACGAGGGAAAAGATAGTTACTTGGAGCCCCCCGGATGCCCAGACTACATGGGGAGCAGTGGCAAGATAGTTTGGGACTTGGCGTCATCCTATTTCCATATGGGGTACCACTTATACGTGGACAATTTTTATTCAAGCGTGCCACTATTTAGACATTTGTTCAATTTGGGAATTTGCACATGTGGCACTGTGCGATCTAAATCGCCGAGGCTTCCCCCAACGGCTTGTAAATACCCGTCTTAAAAAGGGGGAAAAAGCCTGCTTGAGAAATGAAGAATTGCTCGCAGTGAAGTGGAAGGACAAACGGGATGTTTACCTCCTGTCTTCCATTCACGCAGATACGACCGTCCAAATTACCACGGCAGCTGGTGTTGTTGAGAAGCCCCTCTGTGTCCACGATTATAACCTTAACATGGGAGGGGTGGACTTCAATGACCAGATGATGCAGCCGTATTTAGTTTCCCGAAAATCCAAACGCTGGTACATAAAAGTGTCAGTTTATTTATTTCAATTGGCTCTATATAATGCTTTTGTTCTCTATAAAGCAACTGGACATAGTGGATCATACCTAAATTTCCAGTTAGAGAACATCAGGGCCCTTTTGTATCCAGAAGGTGCTGCGCCCCAAATCCCTCTCCCAGATGCAGTTAGCCGTCTGCATGAGAGACATTTTCCCGATACCATTCCTGGTACCCCAACCCAAAGAAGACCCCAAAAAAGATGTCGTGTCTGCAGCAAACGTGGAATTAGGCGTGACAGCCGCTATTGTTGTCCCTCCTGTCCTGGCCAACCTGGCCTCTGCATCAAGCCCTGCTTCCGCCTCTACCATACACTAGTGAACTATTAGTATAGGGTACAGCACGGCACAGATCAGGGCACATTTACACAGGGTCTCAAAAGATGTTAGGTAGTCAGGAAACTGGCTATCGCATTTGGAGAGACCCTACCAGCTGTTTAAATGTTTGAAGTTTGGAAAAAAAAAAAAAAAAAAAAAAAAAAAATAAATAAAAGTACAAATACCCCCCAAAAAAAAAAAAAAAATGTAAAAACCAAAAATAGTTATAGTTTTTTTTGTTGTTGTCATTTTTGTGATTGTTCGACTTTCACTGGTTTATTGTTGTTTTATTGTTAACCATTTCTGTTTGCAGGAATGCTTTCAGCTGCAGCGCTGACCTGTTTATTCTGACAGCAACAGGAACTTGCTCTCAGAATAGACATAAGTCAGCGTGGGCAGCGCTGTTGGATGAGATTTTTCATCCGCAGTTATAAAAAAACAGAATATATGCCAAAGCGGGGGCCTGGGGTGGCCAGGGTGGATGGCCCCTATGCTTCGGCATATATATTTTATATTTGTTGGCACATTTCATATGTGCCCACCATTAGAAGTGGGTGGATTGAGGGAGGTTTCTAATGGTGGGCATACCACACACTTTTTCTGGCAGAGATTTC